TGAGGTGCAGCATAGTGTATAAGCTGAAAATGCAATTGTTTGGAATATTTATCATGCAGTCTCTTGACGATGGCCATAATGGCCATTTCCTTGGGCTGCGCAAGGTCCACGTATCCCCGCCGAGTCTAGTGCACTAGACCAAGAAGGTTCTCCCCAATCCTGACCTTATTGGCGGAGAGTAAGATCGGTTGTAATCAACCCGAATCACCGTACGGAATACCGCACAGCGCTGCATTGACGCAGCACAAGAACCAAATGATCTTGGGCAATGCTATTAGGGGTTATGTTATATCGAAATTTCTCTATGCTACTCTTGTAAAAGGGAATCCACGTTTTCACTTATATTACGATTTCTGCTAACTGTTAACTTTTACTTTCCAAATCTTGATAGTCCGTCCGTTTTCTCCACTATTCGACAGTCCTCTCCCCTTTATTTATATTTTTGCGAGTTTTACATGCTACTGTTAAGTGTGGGTGCAGAACTTTATAAAACTGCGGTTTGCCTGTCTCTTGACTGCTCTGTCTGAATTTTTGATAGCCAATAGTGTTTGGCTGTTCTTTTACAACTCCACACAGATTATAGCAGACGAAAGGCGTATTTATCCAGTATTTTCATACCCCTGACTAAATATTTCATGTATACTTCCGGTAGTTCATTACATCCTATTCACACAATGCAGGTTAACAGAGGACGTGAAAATCAACGATAATGTGGTCAGGTATAAAAGCGTTGTTTGGATATGAACGTGATCAAATCGAAGTAGAAATCGGTAAGCTGTTTCCTTTTTTACTTTTATGTTTAATATCACAAGACGGCATTTTTTGAGTAAAAAGAAACGTTAAGGGAAACAATTAGAAGGGTATGGGGCAATTTTTTCACCGAAGAACGCTTTCCACAGACCTCTAGAAAACCATCAGCTACTCAAAGTCATATACACACATATACTATTCCAGTTGAGCATAGTACAAGTAGGGAATGATCGATCGTTGAAACAGTTTCCCTATTTGTCAGAATTTCCGATAACGTGCAGTATTCCATGATGGGAGATAAAAATGGCAACAGAGAAAACAGTATAAACATTACTAGTATGTTGGAATTTTAATAAGCACGGGCGGTACACGGTCCTAGGAAGAAGTTGGTGATGCCCTTATTTTGGAGGTCACGTATGAACTGGGATTTCACGATGATTGTTGATGCTTTCGGCTTGGTCTTGGCGTTAATAACGGATTGCTTATATGTGTTAAAATCATAGAAAAGGAAAAGATCGCCCACATTATTTGATTCGGAAATTCGATTTAATAACCACATTATTGAAACTAGATCTCATGTTAGCGAGGTATCTTCTGTTGACTTATAGATATAAACTAAGAAATACAATATAATTAGTCACATCATATGAGGGAAGTTCCTTTAAGCCAAATAAATTATAATTTAGGAAAGTACTTGGCGGAACTATATTTAACAAATCTTTAAAGCATAAGTCTATCTTCACCCAACAGGACAAAAAGCTAAAGCCACTTTCAAACTTCGTGGCCTGTAACCACTAGTGAAGATATTGAGTCCAAACCAATTCTTAGTATTTTTGTAAACTTCCTTCGTTCACGTGAAGAAGGAGCGGGAATATTTTGAGGGGCCAGAAACTCATGCACAAAAAAAAGAAACCGAAAATTAAAATAAATGACCCTGTAACATGAGGGATGGCAGTTTTTGTTTGCTTCATGCAAGACATTTTAGGCTTATTTGATTGAAGTCATAACGTAGTAATCGATGCTATATGCTGATATTGCAGTTTTCCGGTTCAATTTGTATTCATATTTTATGATTCTGCGAGCCAACATGATGGTTAAAGTGCAGGTGTCGTGGTTTTGATTACTATAGGGTGAGCTGACTCTTATATTTCAGGACTCCGCTCAATGATTTTCGAAGTAGCGAAGTACGACTTCCCCGTTAACATTGCAATAGGCGTCAGTGTCTCGGCCTTTCTTAGAGCCATCTGCCATGCACAGTCTGCTTTTGTGCACATCTAAATATACTTATGTCCCTTTCAACTTAAAACCTTGTCTAGCTCTTCAACGTATAGAGTGCAGACGCACTCTGCAGTTATAATAAAGTACTCACGTGTCAAATTTGGGGTTTGCAGACCTTGACTGGCTGTTTTTTGCTTATATGTATACAACATCGCATAACATTCTATTTTATAAGCTTTTGCTTTGTTTATTATAGAGACAGTAACAACTTCAACTTTCAGTCAGCTTGATCAAGCAGCCTGCTTAGAAATTTGCGATCATATAAAGCAGAGAAACGACGGACCGTCGATAGCTATGTCTGCCTTGCTTAACCAGCTGGAGAAGTCTGCAGCAAAGGATCAAAAAACAGCGTCCTTTACACTGACTTTACTGGACATGTGCGTGAAAAACTGTGGTCGGCGATTTATAAGCGAACTTTGCAAAGAAGACTACTTAAAGAGATTCCGAAAACTTATCGGTCGTGGAAAAGGTGCTGATGCAATCCAAACTAGGCTTCTTAGCCTTATTAAGGCATGTACAGAACCTTCAGTTTTATTCATTCTCTAGACCTGGATGTTAGCCTTTTCAGACTATGTCGAATTTCGACCCATCAATGGTCTGTACGGCGAACTTCATAACAGTGGTGTGCAATTTCCTCACATCAAACAAGATGACGTAGACTTTCTTAAGCTTACGGTAAGTTAAGTTAAAGTTCTGGATTGTGCCAAGTTGGTTTTCTATGAGGTAGTTCTATTGCGGTTATTGGTAATAATTTTATCTTGTCCGTAGATTCTGTTTCTTTATGACTATATAAAAGGACTATGCCACAGTCCTGTGCGGCCAGATATAAGGCTCCTTGTTGATCTTCATTTACAAAGAAACACTTTTGTCTTTCCATTTAGCTTCAACCGTCTCGAACTAGCATGGCTTCAGGATTTGTCCAAGTACCCGCTGCTTCAAATGCAAGCACCACACAGCTGATGAAGGCCATTCGTCATGATCTGGATCAGGCAGCTTTAGATCTTCCCGCCTTTGAAGCTCAAGTTCAGGGTTTGGCCTGTACTCCACCAGATGATGTTACGCTGAGGCAATTGCGTGTAAGTAGCGACTAATGCATACACTGAACATGCCCTTGTTTGCCTGTTGATGGGCAATGAGAGTAGGGAGGTTAACGGTTACGTAATTGGCCATCCAAAGTGACAGCTAGTATCCTTGATGATCAGATCACCCACCTGTATCTCATCATTCGGAAGATTTGCAAATGAATGACTTTGCATAGCAACGGCTTGTCACTCATAGCGCAGTTCAGATTTTTAAACATATGACTCCCATCAATGAAAATACGGCACACAGGGGCAGGGGGTGCATTCAGACTTGAATGCCTTCAGATGCCTGTGGTTCCAATGAAAGATGTCTTAATTAAAAGGCACTACTGACGAGGAAGGACTGGAAATTACCATAAGCGTGGCCAAAATCCGCAAAAACATTGTTACTTTACACAACCATTTGTAACCTAC